CAGCTTTTTTTCGTTTCCACGCTTTATTTAACGTAGCGGTATTAATTGCACTATTATAAACATCTAATTCGAGTAGAATTCGAAGTGCTTTCGGACATCCACATCTTTTGTTATTGTAGTTGTGTTGTATGTTTTTCCGACCGAGAGTACATGCGCTGAGGAAAAAAGCCCGACGAGTTCAATTAGGATGAGTAAATAATATATATATGAGAACACAAGCGGTAGTGACTGTTGTTGCGAGATAAGCGAATTATCGTGCACCGCGGAATGTCGGACGGCAAACATAACCTTGTCGTGAGCCATTAATAATGTATTGTATAACAAAATATTAATTCATTCATAAATATACGCGGATTATTATCATCTTCGTCGTGCGTTTCGCTTCACGCATGTCAAAGGCTGTATTAGTGACATTGTCTTATTTCGGATTCCAGTAAATTAAAATATTTGTTGCTTCATGCATTGGCATGCACTGCAGTGGATCTAGTGATAACATTCACTGCAGTGATGACATCGATGAAGACGACGATCAGGAGGTGTCTTCTTTGCAGGAGGAAATGAACATTGAAAATATCTTAACATTTATTTATGTTAAGTATGGAATGCTTGCCGAGCTCTAGGATTAGTCACTACCGAAACTTGATTTTGCCATCTGCTTGGAAAGTATATACATATTTTAAAATGTATTTAGCAAAGGAATTGACTTTGTTGAAATACGTTGTTAGACAGATAATGTTTGTCTTTCAAGTTCAAGATCTGTAAGTGACAATTGTTCTTAATTATGTATATATCTATATATGTAACAAAATGAAAATAATTTGTCCTAATAGATTCTAGAGAATAAATGGTGGTCAGTGACAAACAATGATTTATTGGTTAAAGAAGATAAATTCTTTGATTACGTGTATATCAATTGATATTACTGATTTCAAGCCATACCACAATAAATTACAGCTGAATTTATGGAGCATACAAGGTTAACGGTATATGCAATATCTGTAGCACATATATCTGAAAAAGCATACACTGTAAAGTTATCTATGTAGATGAACAAAACTATTTGTCAAAGATATACAAGGAGATAGAAAAAAAATTCGTTGTAAAACATAATGTTAAAATGTACAAAATGTTATATTAAAATGTTTGTACATTTATGCTAACTGTATTAAATATTATAAAACAAATTATATGAATAGCGTTTTTATTATCCAAATCAGATAACTTGTGTCTTAAAGTAAAATACAGGTGAAAACAGCTCTTCGGATTTTTTTATTACATCACAGAAATTTTACGATTCTGTGTGAGAAGTGAAAATGTGAGAAATGAGTGAATTTCCTAGAATATTTATAATTTCGTTGATCAACATCTAGTGAATTTGCTCATTATTCGCATTTTTATTTCTCACACAAAGCTCTAATAAACTCTCTGATGTAATAAAAAATTTCGAAGTGTTTTTTTTACCTGTGTTTTACTTTAAAACATAAGTTATTTGATTTGGATAATAAAAAGTGCTATTTAATTTGCTATTTAATAAAAAGTGCTATTTATAATTTGTTTTATAATATTTAATACATTTAGCATGATAGCGCGACTTCTTAATATAATATTTTGCAGATTTTAACATTAAGTTTTACAACAAATTATTTTTTCCTACCTCCTTATATAATTTTGGCAAACAATTTTGTTCATCCACACAGATAACTCTTCAATGTATGTTTTTTCAGATATACATGCTACAGATATACTGTCAACCTTGTACACTCCATAAATTATGTTATAATTTCTTGTAATATCGTTTGAAACCTTACGTCAAAATAAGGATATCAATTGATGTACACATAATCAATTAATTGATCTTCTTTACCCAATAAATCATTGTTTGTTGCTGACCACCATTTATTGTCTAGAATTTGTTAGGACCAATTGTTCTTATTTATGTATATATCAATATATGTAACAAAATGAAAATAATCCTAATATATTTTAGGAAATATATAGTGGTCAGCAACAAACAATGATTTATTAAAGTGGTTCAATTGTTTATGTGTACATTAATGTATATCTCTATTTGACATAAGGTTTTAAACGATATCACAAGAAATTACAGCAGAATTTATGGAGCATACAAGGTTGACAGTATCTATATCTGTTGCAATATCTGTAAAACATATATCTGAAAAACATTCTCTGAGAGGTTATCTATATAGATGAACAAAACTATTTGCCAAAGATATACAAGGAGATAGGAAAAAATAATTCGTTGTAAAACATAATGTTAAAATGTACAAAATATTTTATGAAAATGTTTGTACATTCATGCTAACTGTATTAAATATCATAAAACAAATTATGTAAATAACGTGTTTTATTATCCAAATCAGATAACTTATGTCATAAAGTAAAACACAAAAATACTTTGGAGCGTAAGGCTGATATTACATGTGTCGTAGGACAAGCTTTTCGGATACGTTCATTGATTGACGAGCAGAGAACTTAGAAATACTCTATTCGCCAACCAATCAATGTATCCGAAAAGCTTGTCGTACGACACATGTAATATCGGCCTAAGGCTTGTATTATTACATGTATTTCTAACAGTGAAAAATTATTAGAAACGCATATGTTTATAAAAGTTATTAATGAATTCATCGATATAAATATGCATAACGCATTAAGGTCCGCCTACAATGG